GAGTATATGAAGGTCTATATTTATGACCCGTGCCTTTCTGAGTTTCTCCCCCACAAACAATCTGCTCCATCCCTATCTCATCCTGATTTTAGTATTTTTAGTATCTTAGTTTTTATCTTGCACATGCTCATTGTTATGTTACGTTATTTTATTGTGTATGATTTTGCTTTATCGTTTTTGTACTCATATGTTGTATGTATTTTACTATGTTGTTATTGTGTTTTATAGAATCATAGAATCATAGAGTTGGAAGAGACCTCATGGGCCATCCAGTCCAACCCCCTGCCTAGAAGCAGGAATATTGCATTCAAAGCACCCCTTACAGATCACCATCCAGCCTCTGTTTAAAAGCTTCCAAAGAAGGAGCCTCCACCACACTCCGGGGCAGAGAGTTCCATTGCTGAACGGCTCTCACAGTCAGGAAGTTCTTCCTCATGTTCAGATGGAATCTCCTTTCTTATAGTTTGAAGCCATTGTTCCGCGTCCTAGTCTCCAGGGAAGCAGAAAACTAGCTTGCTCCCTCCTCCCTGTGACTTCCTCTCACATATTTATACATGGCTATCATGTCTCCTCTCAGCCTTTTCTTCTTCAGGCTAAACATGCCCAGCTCTTTAAGCCACTCTTCATAGGGCTTGTTCTCCAGACCCTTGATCATTTTAGTCACCCTCCTCTGGACACATACAGCTTGTCAATATCTCTCTTCAACTGTGGTGCCCAGAATTGGACACAATATTCCAGGTGTGGTCTGGCCAAGGCGGAATAGAGGGGTAGCATGACTTCCCTGGATCTAGACACTAGACTCCTCTTGATGCAGGCCAAAATCCCATTGGCATTTTTTGCCGCCACATCACATTGTTGGCTCATGTTTAACTTATTGCCCACAAGGACTCCAAGATCTTTTTCATATGTACTGCTCTCGAGCCAGACATTGTCCCCCATTCTGTATCTTTGCATTTCGTTTTTTCAGCCTAAGTGGAGCATCTTGCATTTGTCCCTGCTGAACTTCATTTTGTTAGTTTTGGCCCATCTCTCTAATCTGTTAAGATCGTTTTGAATCCTGCTCCTGTCTTCTGGAGAATTGGCTATCCCTCCCCATTTGGTGTCGTCTGCAAACTTGATGATCCTGCCTTCTAAGCCTTCATAAGTCATTAATAAAGATGTTGAACAGGACCGGGCCCAGGACGGAACCCTGCGGTATTCCTCTCATCACTTCTTTCCAGGATGAAGAGAAGTGACGAGCAGAGTGCCATAAGCAGGGTTCTGTCCTGGGCCCAGTCCTGCTCAGGATCTCTATTAATGATTTAGATGAAGGCTTAGAAGGCATGATCATCAAGTTTGCAGATGACACCAAATTGGGAGGGATAGCCAGTACTCCAGAAGACGGAGCAAAATTTATTTATTTATTACATATATTAATATCCTGCCCTGCTCCCCACAAGGGGGACTCAGTGCGGCCTCACATGAGCATCAGAAGATGCTAACAGCATAAATACCATAAAAATTACAATTCACAATAAAATCATTTTAAAACATTGTACATCATCAGTAAAATTTAACTATAAATTAATAGTTAACATGCCAATAAATATCAAGCCAAGCTGGGAGACTCCATGTCAGACTACTGTAACGCCCTCTACATAGGCCTGCCTTTATCGGTGATCTGGAAACTTAAACTAGTGCAAAATGCTGCTGCCCGGCTTCTCGCAGGGGTCCAAGCGAGGTGTCATATCACTCCAATCTTGCAGCAACTGCACTGGTTGCCGATTGAGCACCGGATTACCTTCAAAGTGCTGATTCTTACTTTTAAGGCCTTATATGGCCTGGGGCCATTGTACCTGATTATTCACCCCCTACCAACCCCCGAGATCACTCAGTTCAGATGATCAGAATTTCCTTGAAGTTCCCAATTTTAGGACCTTTCACCTGATGTCTACTAGGCGTAGAGCATTCAAGCTCCTTACCTGTGGAATGCCTTGCCAGCGGAAACACGAGCTCTCCGAGAGTTACTTGTAGAGCTTGTAAAACTTATTTATTTAGGCTGGCATTTAAATCTTGCTGATTGAAATATTTCTTTGATTTTAAATGTAATGTATCACATATGTATATTGTAAACCACTCCGAGCTTTCGGGGAGTGGTGGTATATAAAACTGATAAATAAATAAATAAATAAGATCCAAATTTCCTTTTCCTATTGCCGCTGGCCTATAATCGAACGCCTGGCCCCAGAGCCAGGTCTTCAGTTGTTTTCTAAAGGACAAGAGGGAGGTGGCCAACCTGATGTCCCTAAGGAGAGAGTTCGACAGATCGGGGGGGGGGGGGCACTGCCGAGAAGGCCCTGTCTCTCATCCCCACCAACTGCATTTGTGAGAGTGGTGGGATCGAGAGCAGGGCCTCTCCTGATGATCTTAAGCTTCGTGATGGTTCATAGCAGGAGAAGTGACGAGCGGAGTGCCACAGGGTTCCGTCCTGGACCCGGTCCTGTTCAACATCTTTATTAATGACTTAGATGAAGGGCTAGAAGGCAGGATCATAAAGTTTGCAGACGACACCAAATTGGGAGGGATAGCCAATACTCCAGAGGACAGGAGCAGGATTCAAAACGATCTTGACAGATTAGAGAGATGGGCCAAAACTAACAAAATGAAGTTCAACAGTGACAAATGCAAGATACTCCACTTTGGCAGGAAAAACGAAATGCAAAGATACAGAATGGGGGAATGCCTGGCTCGAGAGCAGTACGTGTGAAAAAGATCTTGGAGTCCTCGTGGACAACAAGTTAAACATGAGCCAACAATGTGATGTGGCGGCAAAAAAAGCCAATGGGATTTTGGCCTGCATCAATAGGAGCATAGTGTCTAGATCTAGGAAGTAATGCTACCCCTCTATTCTGCTTTGGTTAGACCACACCTGGAATATTGTGTCCAATTCTGGGCACCACAATTCAAGAGAGATATTGACAAGCTGGAATGTGTCCAGAGGAGAGCGACTAAAATGATAAAAGGTCTGGAGAACAAGCCCTATGAGGAGCTTAAGGAGCTGGGCATGTTTAGCCTGAAGAAGAGAATGCTGAGAGGGGATATGATAGCCATGTATAAATATGTGAGAGGAAGCCACAGGGAGGAGGGAGCAAGCTTGTTTTCTGCTTCCCTGGAGACTAGGACGCGGAACAATGGCTTCAAACTACAAGAGAGGAGATTCCATCTGAACATGAGGAAGAACTTCCTGACTGTGAGAGCCGTTCAGCAGTGGAACTCTCTGCCCCGGAGTGTGGTGGAGGCTCCTTCTTTGGAAGCTTTTAAACAGAGGCTGGATGGCCATCTGTCAGGGGGTGATTTGAATGCAATATTCCTGCTTCTTGGCAGGGGGTTGGACTGGATGGCCCATGAGGTCTCTTCCAACTCTTTGATTCTATTTTTTTTTGTCGTGTCAGGAGTGACTCCTGGTGTGAGAAAATTGGCTGTCTGCAAGGACGTTGCCCAGGGGAGATGGTGGCGGGTATAAATAAAGTTTATTATTATTATTATTTTTATTATTACTAGCCCATCCCCTACCATGTGTTGCTGTGGCCCAGTCTGTTGATCTGGAAAATAAAGTAATGAGAAATGTTGGTTTCTAATATATGTAATTCTTTATGCTTGTGGGTAAACAGTATTTCTTGCTGTTTCTTTGTCAGTGTTGATGTGGAGAGTGTCTGGTTTGCCTACTCTGGAACATGCAACATAATTGTTCTTCTTTAGGGGTCCCTTTCAAATTTATGATACTATATCTCTCTGTGTGTGAATCATATCTATCTATCTATCTATCTATCTATATCTATGGCTGGATGGCTCTTTGTCAGGAGGGCTTTGATGACGTTTTCTTGCCCTGGTGAAGGGAATTGGACTGGATGTCCTTAATTATATTCTGTTGGTCATGGGGGTTCTGTGTGAGAAGTTTGCCCCAATTCTGTCGTTAGTGGGGTTCAGAAAGCTCTTTGATTGCAGGTGAACTATAAATCCCAGTAACTACAACTCCCAAATGCCAAGGTCTATTTCCCCCAAACTCCATCTGTGTTCATATTTGGGCATCGGGAATATTCGTGCAAAGTTTGGTCCAGATCCACCATTGTTTGAGTTCACAGTGCTTTCTGGCTGTATGTGAACTACAACTCCCAAACTCAAGGTCAATGCCCACCAAACCCTTCTAGTGTTTTCTGTTGGTCATGGGAGTTCTGTGTGCCAAGTTTGGTTCAATTCCATCCTTGGTGGAGTTCAGAATGCTCTTTGATTGTAGATGAACTATAAATCCCAGCAACTACAACTCCCAAATGACAAAATCATTTTTTTTGAGTGATGGTCACACCTTGGGTTAGTAGATGTCTTGTGTCCAAATTTGGTGTCAATTCGTCCATTGGTTTTTGGAGTTCTATTAATCCCACAAACGAACATTACATTGTTATTTATATAGATTATTATTATTTTCCAGATCACCAGACTGGGCCACAGCAACGCGTGGCAGGGGACCGCTAGTAATAATAATCATAATACCTCTAATATGCTAGGCCCTTGGGAAGAGCCGAGTCCTAGACACTTGGGCCTCATGTGCCTGTGTTGTTATGTACATAGAAAACAGTAACAATACTAACTCATGAAGCTGGACCTTGGAGCAGAGGAGGCAACTTGCGACTTTGCAAGAATGTTTCCAGGCGCGGAGGCAGGAAAGTTTGGGCGAGCAGAAAGGAGGCGGTGTGGGCACTCTGTGCATGGGCAGGGGGCGGCGGGGAAGTCTCTCAGTGGTGCCCCTTTTCACCTGCCTCCCTCCCTCTCCCTCTCTCTCTCTCTCTCTCTCTCTGCGTATGTGCTGAGTAATGGCAAGGGGACTCCTCCTCCTCCTCCTCCCGCCCAGGGACGGCCAAGTTCTGCGTGCCAGTGCCCAGGCAGAGCTACTCCTTTCCGCACACTTTCCGCACCACAGGCTCTTCCTTCCTTCCCTCCCTCTTCTCCAGTCCTGCCCTTCTTACCTTTACGAAGCACGCCTGGAAAAGTCCACGGGACCCCGCTGGAACAATCGTGCTCCTCGCCCTTTAAGAGTCGGCAGCAGGAGCGCTGTCCTTTCCACCTGCATCAGCTGGAAAGACCCACTCCTGACGTCACGCCGGTGGCCACGCCCCCCGCACTGCCCACTCGCTATGGTCATTGGCTGCCCCTCTCTGCCAGTCCTCATTCCCAACTGCTCAGTGGCTGCGGGGAAACAGCTGGAAGCGTGGCTCCCCCCACCTTCTTCTCCTCCAACTTGGAGGTTTTGCTTTCAGCTCCCAGGGGAATCAGAGTTCACATCACACTCCCTCAGCCTCAGAGGAAGGCAAGGGGATTGGGACTGGCATCCACTTTGGAGAGGGGACCCAGACAACAGAGACCTTCACGAATTACAGACCTGGACCAAACTTGGCACAAAGAACCCCCATGACCATGGGGGGGGGGGGGGGGGGGGGGGGGGGGGGGGGGGGGGGGGGGGGGGGGGGGGGGGGGGGGGGGGGGGGGGGGGAGCAGAAGATAAGGATTCGAGAGCAGTACGTTGAAAAAGAAAATGTGTTGGAAATCCCATGAGCCAACAATGTGATGTGGCGGCAAAAAAAGCCAATGGGATTTTGGCCTGCATCAATAGGAGCATAGTGTCTAGATCTAGGGAAGTAATGCTACCCCTCTATTCTGCTTTGGTTAGACCACACCTGGAATATTGTGTCCAATTCTGGGCACCACAATTCAAGAGAGATATTGACAAGCTGGAATGTTTCCAGAGGAGGGCGACTAAAATGATCAAGGTTCTGGAGAACAAGCCCTATGAGAAGCGGCTTAAGGAGCTGGGCATGTTTAGCCTGAAGAAGAGAAGGCTGAGAGGAGATATGATAGCCATGTATAAATATGTGAGAGGAAGCCACAGGGAGGAGGGAGCAAGCTTGTTTTCTGCTTCCTTGGAGACTAGGACGCGGAACAATGGCATCAAACTACAAGAGAGGAGATTCCATCTGAACATTAGGAAGAACTTCCTGACTGTGAGAGCCGTTCAGCAGTGGAACTCTCTGCCCTGGAGTGTGGTGGAGGCTCCTTCTTTGGAAGCTTTTAAACAGAGGCTGGATGGCCATTGTCAGGGGTGATTTGAATGCAATATTCCTGCTTCTTGGCAGGGGGTTGGACTGGATGGCCCATGAGGTCTCTTCCAACTCTTTGATTCTATGATTCTATGATAATATTCGGGTTTTAACTCAAATTTTGTCTGAATTATTTGTTGGATTTGTCTGTGAATCTCGGTCCAGAAGCTTTTTACTTTCTTACACTGCCACCAGGTGTGGAAGAAGGAACCTAGTTATCTTCTACACCTGCTAGACTTCAGTATAGATCCTAATAAAGAAAAGATATTATATCATGCAGCGGCGGCAGCAAGAACCGTCCTGGCATGCAAATGGAAAAAAAAAGACCTCCCAACCGTTGAAGACTGGCTCTTAAAAATCAGAGACCTAATGGAAATGGATTCACTAGCAAATCTGGTGTACGACAAAAGCCAAAAAAGAAAAATAGATTGGAAACCAATGAGGACATACTTAAAGGAAAAGAAGAACATTACATTAACGGTCGGTGAAGAAGACAGTGGAATTAATATAGATGAGAGGATGAATGAAAATACAATATCCACGCATAACTCCGCAGACCATTTAGGAAGTCAAGAATACCTCCTTTTAACTTCCCCCCCTCCCTCGCGTTTTGAATCACCCCCCCCCTCCTTGCCCCTCCTCTGCCCTTCCCCCTTCACTCCCTTCTTCTCTAACCCCCCCCCGCTCCCCCTTACTTTCTATGTCTGCACTGTAATATCTGTAATGTTTTCAATGTTTTTTCAATGTTTTTTAAATGTCCAATGCTAATGTCTGTTGTTACTATTGAAAACGTGAATAAAGATTATTTATTAAAGAAAAAGAGAGCCAATGCTCCAGAGGACAGGGTCAGAACTCCAAAGGACCTCCACAGTTGTTGTTTTTTTTTTTGTCATGACTCATGTCAGGAGTGACTTGAGAAACTGCAAGTTGCTTCTGGTGTGAGAGAATTGGCCATCTGCAAGGACGTTGCCCGGGGGATGCCTGGATGTTTTGATGTTTTAATAATCATAGAATCATAGAGTTGGAAGAGACCTCATGGGCCATCCAGTCCAACCTCCTGCCAAGAAGCAGGAATATTGCATTCAAAGCACCCCTGACAGATGGCCATCCAGCCTCTGCTTAAAAACCTCCAAAGAAGGAGCCTCCACCACACTCCAGGGCAGAGAGTTCCACTGCTGAACGGCGGGGTGTTAAGGGTTCACCCCCCCCCCCCCCGAAATTTTTCTGGTTAAAAAAACCTGGTTTACTCATGAATTTTAACTGGTTAACCAAATCCCCATGCTAAGTCTATGAGATGCAAAAAATTAAGAGTCCCTCCAGAACTGCAAGCACTATCTCAAGCAAATATTGACAATGTATTCACACTGTCATTACTTGCAGCAATAGCCGATGTAGCGGGGCAACCAAGTTGGGGGCGGGGGTGTTGAATGCTCTCATTAAGGAGGCCAGACTTGGTGGAGGTGGTTGACAGGGGTGGAGTTGCAGGCTATTGAAGGCTGCTCTGCCCCCTGCTGTGCTCTTTGCTTCAGTGTGAGCTAGGAGGCAGGTTTCAACCCCCCCCCTGCGAAATTTTCACCCCCCCCCCCCGAAATTTTCAACCCCTCCCGAATTTTTTTTCTCGCTACGGGGCAGAGAGTTCCACTGCTGAACGGCTCTCACAGTCAGGAAGTTCTTCCTCATGTTCAGATGGAATCTCCTCTCTTGTAGTTTGAAGCCATTGTTCCACGTCATAGTCTCCAGGGAAGCAGAAAACTAGCTTGCTCCATCCTCCCTGTAACTTCCTCTCACATATTTATACATGGCTATCATATCTCCTCTCAGCCTTGTCTTCTTCAGGCTAAACATGCCTAGCTCTTTAAGCCGCTCCTCATAGGGCTTGTTCTCCAGACCCTTGATCATTTTAGTCGCCCTCCTCTGGACACATTCCAGCTTGTCAATATCTCTCTTCAATTGTGGTGCCCAGAATTGGACACAATATTCCAGGTGTGGTCTAACCAAGGCAGAATAGAGGGGTAGCATTACTTCCCTATGAAGTCAGCAATTTTAGATGGGTCTCCTCGTGAGGAGGGTACCCCTGGATCACACCAAAGAGGATCCGCTACCTTCTCGGCGAGACTTTCAGGAAGCCAATCCAAGCGACCGATAAAAAATGATTTTCCCGACCAAGAGGTTGAAGAAGTGGTGACCAAGGCTTTTATTAGCAATTCAGCTGATATCAGATGCAATTGTGGGAATTATTCCACCACAAGCATGAAAATACAAAGTTTGGAGGCATCTTTATACATTCAGTAAGTTCCGCAACTTTGAAATTCCCGCCCGCCCTCCCTCACCCGGCTTCGCTGTGATTGGTTGATGGCCAAACAGCTGGGAGAGGCTTGCCCCTGCTCTCGGCCAATCACAGCAATCCTCGCTTCGTGGAGCCGGCGAATCAGGAGTGAGGAGGCGGGACGGAAGAGATGGAACAATGGAGGAGGAAAAATGATTGCTTGACAAAGGGGTCTTCACGCGTCCGGGAGCAATTTCGGCCAGCAGGGAAGCCAATCTATTGTTTGGGGGATAAAGGGTGATTGAATCAATCTGAGCTTTCCTGGCCGAAACTGAGCAAATATATTGTTTTAATGATTTCCAAGAGATATGATCTAGGCTGGGCACGGACTCCCTGGTGGGCAGCCTGGCCCCTATTGTGATTGGCAAATTAAGACTTGACCGGAGGAAGAGATTCATCTGTGGGCCATGCTCCGAGGACAAATAGAGAAACTTCCTGACCTATTGTTCCATGCAAAAAATGATTGAATGGGGGGGGGGGTTCATTGTGGGCCGAAATGGCCCCTTTTGGGCAGCTGGGCGCTCTGAGGCCTTTCCACTTCTGAATTCCCTTAGTGGGGCAAAGTTGGAGGGGCAGAGGGTAATGCAAGGGGTACACATTCATAAGCATTCCATACATAGTACATTGATTAAACTTATTCCCATCCCTTCCCCAAACAAAATTAATAAAGCGATTTTATTATGAAAATGAATATTTTTAGTCCTGGGTTTCTCGGAAAGTTCATGGGGAGGAAAAGGGCTCGGTGATGCCCAAAAAGGGTAAGCGCCAGAGAGTTCATGATTGGCGGGGGCACAAGGGGGGAGGCTGGAGTCCTTGGAGCCGGCAGAAATAGCCTTCCCCCCTGCCGTGCTGCGATCGGCTTCCTTGAGAGTCCTTGGTGAACTAGAACTCCCCCGAAGGGAAGGGGCCTTCCTGGCCAGACGCTCTCCGAAGTCCCATGGGGTATCCACACCAAGTCCCCGGGTCGGAGCCTGGCAAAGACGAGGATAAGCCGAGGGGCTCCCAGCTGATGGTATAGGCAGGAGACAAGGTGGAACGGCCTCCCTGCCCCCCCCCTCTCTTCACTCTTGCCCAAAGCAGCTGGGAGGAGAGGCTCCCAGCTGATGGCATAGGCAGGAGACAAGGTGGAACTGCCTCCCTGGCCCACTCTCTCTTCACTCTGGCCCAGAGCAGCAGTTGGTGCTTGGGGGTGGGGCTCCCAGCTGATGGTATAGGCAGGAGACAAAGTGGAACTGTCTCTCTGGCCCAGAGCCGCAGTTGGGCCTGGTGGGAGGGGCTCCCAGCTGATGGTATAGGCAGGAGACAAGGTGGAACTGCCTCCCTGGCCCCCTCTCTCTTCACTCTGCCCAAAGCAGCAGTTGGTGGTGGGGGGAGAGGCTCCCAGCTGATGGCATAGGCAGGAGACAAGGTGGAACTGCCTCCCTGGCCCACTCTCTCTTCACTCTGGCCCAGAGCAGCAGTTGGTGCTTGGGGGTGGGGTCCCAGCTGATGGTATAGGCAGGAGACAAAGTGGAACTGTCTCTCTGGCCCAGAGCCGCAGTTGGGCCTGGTGGGAGGGGCTCCCAGCTGATGGTATAGGCAGGAGACAAGGTGGAACTGCCTCCCTGGCCCCCTCTCTCTACACTCTTGCCCAAAGCAGCAGTTGGTGGTGGGGGGAGAGGCTCCCA